GGGTAGTTATGTGCGTACTTCAGAAACAAAACAAAATATTATAATGGAAAAGGAGACCACATGCATGGCCTCTTTGAACTTTGGTTATAGTTTCGGTCTCTCTTAAAGTCAAGGATTGTTCTACTGAGAATCGTGTTTCACACGAATGAAAGCAAACAACAGATTAAGACTTTAATCTCTGTAAACGTATTTCCTTGCACAATGCTACTTTTAAAATACTATTAATTGTCATCATAAATTGAAACGTTTGCATGCCATTACAGATCGCCTGCTACAGTTCCCTGTCTTGTAGCTAGGGTTTACGTGTCCCTCTTGCCGACAAATCCCAAGGACAACCCACCAGCTTGTTCCGTATTCTCTCATTTGGTACAATGATGGCTCTTACTAATGTTACATAAAACCTTACATATTGAATAATTTCTCTATTGCACTGCCACCTCGTTGCCTTCCTCCCTCGTCACAGACAAACATGTTTTCCTAATTTTTTTTTTTTAAATTGTAGTACAAGTAGTTGCATGTAAGAGGAAGTATTTTCGACACTGCACTCTGGTATGTATTGCATTCCTGACGTATTTTTTTCGTACAGGACAAGCATACCTATCATTAAATCATGGGCAGTGTTCATCGTTATTGTCAAGGCACATACATCATAGACCAATAAACCACAAAAACCTATGTCTAGACAGTGTGATGGGGTATGACCACCATCTCAGGACAAAATAATGTCTGATACAACACAAACATTACCGTCTCCTGGGAAGGAACTGATTCTACTGCCCAGCAGTAAAGAAGAGCATCACTAAACACTATAACACCATTTCCTGTAGGCGTCATCATCATCATCATCATCATCATCATCATCATCATTATCATCATCATCATCATCATCATCACCATCTTCTTCTTCTTCTTTTTCTTTGTTACAAGCACCTTCTTTATCATCATGACTAGCTTCATCTTCGTCTTCGTCTTTAGCTGCAGTTGCAATTATAGCCATATTGTTCTAAAGTGCTCCTTCGGATTCATTGAGGAATTTAAAAAATTATTCACTTGATACAATTAGCATGCACATTTCTGCAATTAATTTCTGTCAATGACCATGGGGCACACGTCCGCTCGGTACACCCCCCCCCCTCCCCATTCTTTTCCACACTTTCCCGTAAGCCAGCAAATAAACAAAAATTAATTTAAAAAAAACAACAACAACAAACAAAATAATTTATTTATGGATAAAATTATAGGGGCAAAAACAAAACAAAAATCCCACAAAGGATCATTTACACTCAAAGTGAACTTATGTGTCATTTTTACATAAAAATGTGTTTCATTTCCTTCTAGCTAGATCTAGTACTTTTCATAGAACTCGTGTCTAGTAAGACCAAAATGCTTCAAAGATCGACCCATTTCTCTCTCCCTTCCCATATTCTCGCACTGTCCCCTCATTCTATCTCTCTCTTTCTCTCCCTCTTTCTCCCTCTCACTTTCTCTGTCTATCGTTCTCTCCCTCCTTCTATAAGTCTATTTCACTCCCTACCTCTCACCATCTCTCTCTCTCTCTCTCTCTTTCTCTCTCTCTCTC